TGCTGGTGTGGCTCTGTGTGTGTTTGTGTGTGGTGGTTTGTGTGTGTACATGCGTGTGTGTGTGTGTATGTGTGTGTGTGTACATGGGTGTGTGTGTGTGTGTGTGTACAGGGGTGTGTGTGCATGCATGTGTGCATGTGTGTGCATGTGTGTGTACATGGGTGTGTGTGTGTATGTGTGTGTGCATGCGTGTGTATATGTGTGTGTATGTGTGTGTACATGTGTGTGTGTATGTGTGTGTGTGTACATGGGTGTGTGTGTGTGTGTGTGTGTGTGTGTACAGGGGTGTGTGTGTATGTACATGTGTGTGTGTGTGTTTGTGTGTGTGCATGGGTGTGTACATGGGTGTGTGTGCATGCATGTGTACATGTGTGTGCATGTGTGTGTACATAGGTGTGTGTGTGTGTGTATGTGTGTGTACATGGGTGTGTGTGCATGCATGTGTATATGTGTGTGTATGTGTGTGTACATGGGTGTGGGTGTGTGTGGGGGTGTGGGTGTGGGTGTGGGTGTGTGGGTGTGTGTTCTGATGTACAAGCAGAAGTGTGTGTTGCAATCAGAGGACAAACCCAGGTGCCAGCCCTTGCTGTGCACATTATTTACGGCAGAGACTCTGTTGCTCACTGTTGTGTACACAAACAAGCCAGAAGTCTCCTGCCTCACCTGCCGTCTAACTAGCAGCCTCTGTTTGGCTTTGCACAAGTTCTTGGGACTCAATTCAAGTCCAAATACTTATACGGCAAGTGCTTAACCCACTAAGCCATTTCCTGAACCAAATATTAATTTCTCTAGAGAACATATTTACTACATAACAGATAAAATATACCCACATATAGTGGGGTTTTTTGTTTTGTTTTGTTTTTTTCAAGACAGGGTTTCTCTGTGGCTTTGGAGGCTGTCCTGGAACTAGCTCTTTGTAGACCAGGCTGGTCTCAAACTCACAGAGATCCACCTGCCTTTGCCTCCCAAGCGCTGGGATTAAAGGCGTGTGCCACCAACGCCTGGCCTGCTTGTCTTTAAGAAAAAAATTCAGACGTATTTTTGTCAACCCTATTTTTGAGTTATTCAACCACCACATCTCTTTTAGGAACAAGTAAACTAGTTTGATATCAACTTTCATTATTCAAAGTATTTTGTTTTCATATAGCACATAAATTCTAGCATTGTTCTGTATGATCATTAAGAGTAGAATTTAAAGAACTTGCTAACTAAACAAAAGGAAATAAATTTGCCTGAATCATTGAGCATATAAATCTCTGAGAGTGACAGAAGGAGTAAACGTGTTGGGAGCATGAGAACAAAAGCAGCAGCTTAGGATAAACACCCAGAACCACACTTAAGGGAGAGCCCATATTTGAGAATTTCACGGCTCCTCACTAGCAGATCACTTAATAACAACAGGAGATGAAATTCTGTTTTAATCACATACAGCACCAAGGAAATCAGTGATAGAATAAAGCTGAACACTGCTCTAAATCACAACTCGTATTGTTTACCTAATGAACCAAAGTCATAATAGTAATCAGGCAATGAAGAGTAGCCATTACTGTTCCAATCTTTGATCTATTTAGTCATAAATTCAAAATGTAAATCCAGGAAAAGCAAACAGATTTCTGACCCATTAGAGCACAAATATGCAACTTGCAATAAATATGGCTAAATAATGCAATGGGCTATCACTGTACATAATTTGACTAAATTCCCCCCGAACTTTAGGTGTCCATTAGCATTTGGTTTGGCTTAATCACCAGACACTCTGATGAAACTGCCTAAAAAGTACATTACAACAGAATTCTAAATTATGGGAGAGTACCATCTGCTCACTCATACTATATCATCCAAGTTGTTCCCGGGTAACACATCATCAAAAATAAAATGAAGCAAAGGGATGCACTATGAGACAAATGCCTGAGAGCAATTTACATAATTTAATTTTTCAGATGAAGTATAGTTGTCTAAATATATACATACACACAAATGTAAAGGTCTTTGTGGTGGTTTGAAAGAAAACAGCCCCCAGAGGCCCATAGGGGGTGGCACTATTAGGAGGTGTGCCCTTGTTGGAAGAAATGGTCAAAGACAATTTCTTCAGCCCAAAGTCTTCTATGGGCTGAATGTCTGTATCCCCCAAATTCACACATTGACACCAAGGGAGAGAACATTGGTATGTGATTTAGTGGTCTCTGGGAGGGAGCCTTTGTAAGCAGGAGGCCACATTAGAATAAGAAGCCATGAGAAGACAGGGGCTAAGAACAAGAACCCAGGTCTTCAGCAACCATGAAAACTATGAGCCTGCCTCCAAACTTGAAATTCCAAGTCTTCAAATCTTTGGCAAATAAACCCTTATTTCTTATAAATCATCAGTTTATGGTGCTTTAATGTGGCAAACTAAACAGATTAAAATAATTTCTAAACAAAAACTAATTCAAATTTATCAAAAAGGTTAAATTTTTCTTTAAATATTGAATAAATTGTCTCCATTTTAATTATGTGATAGCTAATTGTATGTGTCAATCTGTTTAGGGCACAGCTGTGCAGAAGGTCTGGCATGTGTCAATCTGACCAGGGCACAGGTGTGCAGAGGGACTGACATGTGTCAATCTGACCAGGGCACAGCTGTGCAGAAGGTCTGGCATGTGTCAATCTGACCAGGGCACAGCTGTGCAGAAGGACTGGCATGTGTCAATCTGACCAGGGCTCAGCTGTGCAGAAGGTCTGGCATGTGTCATCTGACCAGGGCTCAGCTGTGCAGAAGGTCTGACATGTGTCAATCTGACCAGGGCACAGGTGTGCAGAAGGTCTGGCATATGTCACTCTGACCAGGGCACAGGTGTGCAGAAGGTCTGACATGTGTCAATCTGACCAGGGCACAGGTGTGCAGATGGTCCGGCATGTGTCAATCTGACTAGGGCACAGGAATCCATAGCTTTTTATTTTCTGTGGAAATACAAGCAAAACCTTTATTTCTAAGTAGCCTGTCCTTAAACTTAAATTTTGAAGTTAGAGCATTTTTAAAATGTATAAGTTGGATTAATTTAGCAGCATTTATAATCAAATGTATTTTAGTAGCAGTAAGTCTTTCCTCAGCAAACAATTTAAAGACAACAATATGGCATATAATATCCAGATTCTCTGTGTATTTTCCATCTTTATATGGCTTTTTTATTACTTTATTTTTACTTTCTTTTGTTTCTTTTTTCCCTGAGACAGGGTTTCTCTGTGGAAATCCACCTGCCTCTGCTTCCTTTAGCAAATCCTACTGGCGTTGGCCACCACAACCAGCTACTCTATTTTCTCCTGTTATTTTTTCTCTCACAAGCCTACATATATTTTTAAATGCAGTGTAAACCTTTAGAAGTTTCTCTTTATCTGGATCTGTCTTTATCATCTCAGAAATGCCAAGTCTAAACTCCAGAAGCGCTGGGATGGCGCGAGCATATGGAAGCTGTTCTGATGCCTCTCCGCGGCCCGACAGGGCAGGCTGTGGCGGCAGGTTTCCCTCTTTCTCTGGAAACCTTGGGGCCTGGGGTCATTCCGCTCACTGACACCATTCTGTTACGCCAAAAGCCGCCTGAGCCCCACCGCCAAGTGTGAGCTTTACGCCAGCCGCCTGCCTGAGTTAGGGCCCAAATGAATACACAGAAACTTGTATTAGGTACAAAGCTGCTTCACCAATGACTAGGATTCTCATCTGCTAGCTCAGTCTTAACTATCACGAACCTATATATTTTATAAGACTTATCTTATCGGACACCTCATTGGCGTCCCTCCTTGCCAGTGGATCACAATGTGATCTGTGTAATGGTGGTTGTGGGAAGGCTGTTAGTCTGTGTAGTGGTGGTTTGGGAAGGCTGTTATTCTGTGTAGTGGTGGTTTGGGAAGGCTGTTGTTCTGTGTTGTGGGAAGGCTGTTAGTCTGTGTAGTGGTGGTTTGGGAAGGCTGTTGTTCTAGGCACTGGTGGTTTGGGAAGGCTGTTGTTCTAGGCACTGGTGGTTTGGGAAGGCTGTTGTTCTAGGCACTGGTGGTTTGGGAAGGCTGTTGTTCTGTGCAGTGGTTATTGTGGGAAGGATGTTGTTTTGAATACTGGTGGTTGTGGGAAGGCTGTTGTTCTGAGTGAGCACTGGTGGTTTAGGAAAGCTGTTGTTGGTTGTAGGAAGGCTATTGTTCTGGGCATGAGTAGTTTGCAAAGGCCTTTCTATGTCTTTTCAGTGTTGAGCCTCTGTGTAGTAAATGTGAGTAGCAGCCCCACTGTTGTGATAATCAAAATTGCTGCTAAAGGTTAGCTGTGAAACAAAACTGCCTTCAGTCGAGAACAAGTAATCTGATTTAAAAAAGAAGAAGAACTAGGGCTGTCAATATTGTGGTAAAAACAATAGACAATACTGTGTGCAAACAACAAATCATCACCACACAGCTGATGTGTGTCTGACAGGAATCCCATGGGGGTAATCTATGTAATTATCTGTCTACATAATCCTGATTCCATCAGTGAAGAACATTTAAAGACAGCATTAAAAACAAAAGCATACACTGTAAGTATTGAAAAGCTTTTGGTCTCATTCATGAAATACATGAATAAAAATTACAAATTATAAAACAGAATACAGACTGGTACTTCTGACCAAATAAGCTACACACAGGCTAACTACAATATGCCAAGATGGGAATGATTACTTAGATACTTTTTTTTTGTTTGAGGAGTGTGTTAAGCCAGGGTCTCACTATGTAGCCCTGGCTGTCCTGGAACTCACTATGTAGACCAGCTATCCCAGAACTCACAGAGACCTGCCTGCCTCTGCCTCAGGGCTGGGATTAAAGGTGTGCGTCACTAGGCACAGCCAGATCCCCATGGTGTGGAACATTTGTACACTGTGTGAAACCGTATTGCTGTGACTATTGTAACAAAAAGCTGAACCGCCAAAACTAGGTGTCAGGTATAGGCTGGGTTTCAGTGCAGAGAGAAAACTCTGGGAAGAGGGAGGTGTGGGAGACGCCATCGAGATACAGGAGTCAGAAACACAGAATGGGAGAGAGGTCAATGCAGATTAATAAAAATGTAGGTTAATTTATATCGTAAGAGCTGAGGGCCTAAGCTAAGGCCGAGCTTTCATAATTAATAATAAGTCTCCATGTCATTATCTGTGGGTTGACAGCACAAAGAACAATTCGATAACACCCCACGTTTTCTGTTTGTATATAACGTCTTCCCCTTTGAACACAGTAAATGGATGATAGGCAGGTGCTACAAGCAGCACACGGGTAACGTCCCGTCTGAAGTTAAGTACTGACCATGCTGCAGTTACTGTTTGCCGAAATGCATTTCTTGTCATCACACCACTGGCAGCCATTTGTGTTGGCGGTGCAGCTGGCACAGTCTGCATATCTGTAACATCTGTCATCCAGAGCAGCTGCAACATGATGGGAGATAAAACATGACAGACTAAAAAGAAAATGTCACGATTCTTAATTCACACATTTATAGTATCTACTTAAGGATCACCAAAAAAAAAAAAAAATCAGTTAGCAAATAAGTTCTCTAGTAGTTTATATTTATAGGACACATTTTTAAATTTACTCATTTAGAAAGAGAAAAGGAATTTACCAATATTATACATTCAAATAAAATATAATAACTAATATTTGGGTTTCATAACTATAAAGGTATTTAGAGATCCAATGTGATACAGAGTAGCAAAATCTGAAAATGTTTATTAATTGCAACACCAAAACATATTAATACCCTATCAACTGAAATATATAACTGTCATGCAAATAATAAATAAAAATACTGACTGCTCATTCTTCATAACTCTAATTATTTATCAACACATCATAATAAAAAATTAAAAGCCTAAAAAAAGCTCCATAGCATCACAATGGCCATGACATGCATAGAGGTTGGAACTGGCAAGCGTTAATCTTGCTATGTGATATTTTTATTTATGAGTTCATTACAATGAAATAACTTTTATCACAAAAAGTAAAAAGTTAACTGTATAATGTGGCTTTGCAGAAATTCAGGAGGAAAACAACAAATGTAGCATATATCACTTTTTATTCCTTTGAAGCAAACATTTCTGAGAAATTATATATTTAACATGTAATAAAATAATTCACGCTACACATGAAATATTCCCACACAAATTTAAAAAGAAAACAAATGATTAACTGATTTCCAACCCAATTATCAGACAACATAATTAAAGTTTATATTTTTAATTTTTAAAATAATGAACCTAATATAAGCAAAATCAATTCTACTTTTAAATACGTAGAGAAGCTTTTGAACCAAGAGGAAGGGAAGGCCTCACCGGTCTTGGGGGGGCACTTTGCTCTGAGAATAGTATTCGCATTCCCAGTCTCCCAAGATTCACAGTGGTTCTTATTCCAAACACATTTTATCCCTGGGCCAGCGTTTCTGCAGAGCTCTTCATCTTGGAAAGCTCTGCAGTCCGGAGGCTTGTATACAAGGACATCACTAAGGAGCACGCTGGAAAAGCCACCAAATATGTACATGGACCTAGAAAACATGAGGAGAGCGGGCATGTTAACAGAGTACCGCTGAGCGGCCATCGAACCAGTCTGAAGAATAAACAGATCTAACCACACGTTCTAACCCTGTAAATGCCTGGGCTTGCATCCAACTTCTCCTTAGAGTCATATGTGGAACCTACAGTACGGTGTAAAAAGCCCAGGTTAACTATTACAAGATCCCCTTAACGATTTTTCAGATAAAACCTGAAATATAGAATAAATCTTAATGTTTTATGGAAACATTAAATTTCTAGGCATGTTTATTATTAATGTAAGAAAAGGATCAATAATGTAAATACTACCATCTTAATAAAGAAACCATCTTTTAAGAAATATACAACAACTATTATATAATAATATATAATCGTATTATAGTCATACATAAATATTAAGGTACACTTTGGAGGTGCTACCTAGATTTACCTTTTTATTTTTTTTTCCTATATTGATTTGGGGATCTTGTTCCATGATGTTGTTTGTTTTGTTTTGGTGTGTTGTGTTTGACAGTGTACCCTTCTGGCCTTGAACTCATGAGCCTTCTGTTTCAAGGCCAGGACGTGGGGTGAAAGGAACACATCACTCTACCAGCCACTTGGAGCAGACAGAGAATTTGGAAGTCAGATATTGAGACTTCTTGTAAATAAAAAATGCAGAGTAAAGACAAGAGTGTCACACACGGTTTTTAGTAGAGCCCCACAATCTGAAGTGCTTAATAACAATGATGATGCTTGCATACCCCAGAACAGACAACTCTTATCTACAAACTACTATTGACATGAAAAGAAAAGTGGCCCAAATGCTTCAAGAATACTCTTTATTATTAAACAAAGAAAATCAAAATCAAACCCTATGTTCCATATTCAAACCTAAGATTCACATAAATTTTATTTATTATTATTTTTAAGACTCAATTCATGTTAGTTACGAAGTTCATTATGGTTAATAATCCATTGTATGGCACTAGTATTGTATGTAACTGTCATAAGGTGATAATAAATTTATAAACACATTATTCGGAGTTAAGCATTTTAAACTACTAAATGAACTGTAGATTATTTACTATCATGCAGATCCAAACTAACAAATTCTTTTGTTTTTGTTTTTTTTAAGGTTTATTTATTATGTATAAAGTGAGCTGCCTCCATCTATGCCTGCATGACAGAAGGGGGCACCGGATCTCATTATGGATGGTTGTGAGCCACCACTTGGTTTCTGGGAAGATCAGCCAGTGCTTTTAACCTTTGAGCCATCTCTCCAGCCCAACAGATTCTGTTAATGAAACAAAAATTATACAAACATTTGGGGTCTGGAGCCTGACACTTGAAGTCCCAGCACTCCAGGGGCTGAGACAGGAGGATTGTCATTAGGTCAACACTAGCATGGGCTACAGAGCTCCAGTGCAGCTGGACTAGGGAATGAGAACTCATCTCAAAAACAAATGAAGCATACTATTTATATAAACTTGAGAGGAGACTGTAATTTAATCCCATACTCCAATTTCCAAAAAATAAACAGATATTGAAGTCTAGAAAGGCCAATCATCTACAGACATGAAAATTCCCACACGTAGTTAAGGCAGAACTACAATGAGAGCCTGATTGTCCAGTTCTTTGTGTGCAGAGCAGGAGGCCAGGGTTTACCTCTTCCTAGGGTCTTTTCACAGAGTCATTAAGAAGAAGAAAGGAGGCACAGTGGCCTCACTGGGAGGTCCAGTCTTGCAGCACCTTATCCATGCCCACAGGTTTATTGAGGCAAAAGGAAAACTTACAGTGAAGGTTGTGGTTACTCAGGGAAAAGAAAGGAAATGAACTGTGCGTCTTAGGAAATCCACACAAAGTGTGGAGAGAACACAAGAGCGTCTGCAGATGCAAGGACAACCGTTTAACCCTCTGAAAAGGAAAAATGTGCCCTTTACCCATTGATAACTACTGCAGAGTGTCCGAATCTGTTCACGTCTCTATGGAGATTTGGTTTAGGTAATGTCTTCCATTCATCGCAAGCTGAAAATAAAGAAAACAGATGTGAAAATTTTCAGAAACTCAAGAGAAGTCAGGTACAACAATCATTGATGAAATTAAGAGACATAAGACTTAAAATCAGAAAACAAAAAGGATGATTAATCTCCCACTATCTACAATTTAGTATCACTATTCAACTACAATAGACTTCAATTAAAGACAACTCTTGCATAAAATTCTTACCAATAATTTAAATATTAACAAACAAATGAATGAAATTAAGTATCATTCATGTGTAGAGATAATTTCCCTGACTTGGCTTTACACTAAATACAGCAAAATCCACATAGTAAAGCCCATGAGTGTCACTGTACAGCACACCTGCAAACTCCATCAAGTGTTTCCTGAATGAACATAAAAGTAAATAGGACACATAATTTCACTGACAGAATGTCCAAAATAGAGCCATCATAATGTAATATTTAAGTTACTTTAATGACGTGTTTCAAGAAAATAGCATTTCTTTGATGTTGGAAGGAATACTTCAACAAAAACCTAGATTTAAAAACTTTTAAAAAATAACAAAATTCAGTTACATAAAGAATATGGAAGGGAAAATTGCTAAAGAAAAATTATACCATATTTGAGAAGCAGAGGTCGAGGGACACAGAAGGAGCTGGAGGGAGAAGGAAGGGGGAAATGAATGATGCCAATACAGTTTTCACACATACAGTTCTCAAAAGAGGTTAAAAATAAGAAAATACACCACCTTAGTACATTACAATCAGCACACATAAGCACAGACTTTATTCAGTGCCCAGGACCTGGGGACAGTCATAGGACACGTACTACCTCTCAGCTTCTTAAACACGCTGTATCTAAAGGCAGGAGTTGATGTTTAGTGTAAGCTTTACAAAGTGCAATTTTAATAACCTTAGAAATCTACAAAGAACAGTAAATACATATAAAGTTAATTACTAAAGTTAAAATTATAATAAATTACATATTTTCTTACCTATATAACTGTGCCTATAACACAAATACTAAATGAGTTTTAATTCAATATTCTTATTAACAACGATCAAAGAAATTATAAAAACCAAAATCATGGTTCATAAAGTGAAGCTGGGATACTAAAAGCAATAAAATACATCCCAGTGAGTATTTGCCAAAGAGTGTTCTAAGGTACACAAATAGCACTTAGTACTCTTTAGTTTGTAAAGCTCTTGAGTGTTAAGCTAACTCTTCCGGCCAGCCTGGTCCCAGGGCTTCGTCAGCACCAAATAACACGCAGAGACTCTATTAGTTATAATGTTGTTGACCGGTGTCTAGGATTTCTTACTGGCTAGCTCTATCTTAAGTATTAACCCACAAGTACTACTATATGTATTTCGCCATGGTCTTATCTTACTGAGAACACCAGACTCATGAGTCCTCTCCTCCCGGGATCTCATGGCTCCTTCTTCCTTACTACACTTCCCAGAATCCTCCTCGTCTCCTAGTCCCGCCTATCTTACTTCCCTATTGGCCAACATTGTTTTATTCATCAACCAATAAGAGAAATGTATGTACAGACGACTTCTCCCATCACTCAAGGTGACCACAACAGCTGTTTACTACTCTAAAATGAGAGAGAATAAAAATCTAACAATTTTTTTAAGTATGTTTACACTGCTTCCTCCATGGAGATGGTATACACACTCCTAAAAGTCAGTGCTCTGAAGATTACAATTGGTATGTGAGAGAGAGAGAAGGGGGTGGGGGGAATGGCCTGTGCATACATGTGTGTGAATGTGTGTGTCTACCTGGACATGTTGATGTGTGTGCAGGCAGCTGCGCACACTAGGTAAGCTGGCTCAGAGCTTCCAGGCTTTCCCCTGTCTACATCTCCCATCTCTCCTTAGCAGCACTGTGGTTATAGATTGTCTACTCTCTGGGGATTTGAACTCAGGTCCTCAGGCTTACATGAGAAGCATCTACCTACTAAGACATCATCCCATCCGTTAGATTACATCTTTAAAATCTGTAACAGAAACCTGTGCATGAAAACAGACTGCCAAATTTATGTGTTATGCTTAATTTAAGAAATGTGAATAATGTGTACTTACTAAAATAAAATTTGTATAAAGTCACTTTCAAAATGATGTTTGTTTACATAACTTAAAGTGGTCTTTACAAGAATTCACTGGGGTTTACTAAGGAATTGCCTTCTTGTAAATGAAGAATTAAATCTAAGGAAGTTAAGCAACATGCTTAATACTCATTTGACATCTGTCTTTCCATTATAAAACCTGTAAGTATTTCAAAAAATATGTTAACATGATTTGGGGACATTATACGTTTTTCTTGGAGGAGGGGGGTGACCTATACATGGTACAAGCTCTGGATAAGAAAACTAATGGAAATGTTATAGTCAACTAATGAATTCGGGTAGCTAGATGTCAGTCATTCATCTAATTAAAAAAACATAATTTATATTGCTAATTATTGATAAACTCTGCATTGAGGATAGTATTACAATACGGGGAAAACACATCACATTCTTTCCATATATGCTAACAGGACCAGAATATCGAGAATAATAAATGCAATGGAGAGCTTTTTAAGACAGGTGTACTCCAAAAGATATAAGACACACAAAACTTAAGATTTTCCATAGTGCTAAAATATATAAGTGTCCTGGCCAAGAACAATATACCCTCTTAGTAAAATGTAAAAGAAAAGAAACAAGTATCACACTCCCACCACGCCAGACCTCTCTGAACTCTGAAGGCAGCAGATCCAGGCCATGTACCAGAAGACAGCAACAGACGTAAGCTCTGACTAAACGCCTGGGCAAGAAAACCAATCAGCTAAGGTCCAGTCAGCACTGACAGCCGCATGCAGCTAGGTCATGTGACCCAGCATGCCATCCCACCACTGGTGACATCTCTGTTGCAAAGAGCAGCATGTGTAATCGTGACAAGCTCGTGAGAAGCACAGTACAGACTGGACGCACAGGCCCACAGCTGTGCCATCCATCAGCAGTGGAAATTACAGACCTTTATCCCTGCTACTCTGTCCAGACAGCACAGGCCATGGATTAGCAAGCGGTCACAGAATCAGAATTCTGTGTCATCAATAAGAAGATCAGATGGGAGATAAAACGAGAATTATCAAGATCACAGGGACCAAGTTCCCTGCACAATGTCACCCAGCACTGCTAAGGCCAGCGTCCGTCCTCATCCTATAACTGCAACTGCATGGTGAGTCCAGATAGCAAGAAGAGAAAAACACAACTCTGCCAGCTTGACATTGACCTACAAGTTGAATATCTTAGTAATCAACACCAAGCTGATAAATCTGCTCACACACAGTCTCCTCTGATTCTTACACAGCAGAGTCTCTATTGTTATTCTCTTTGGCTGCGATCTAAAGAAAACACACTGCTGCTACAGCCCAGCCATTATCTCTCCATAATCTGCCCAAGCTTAGACAATGCAAAGCAAACATCTACACAGAATTGTAGGGTTTATTTTAAATTGAGAGAAATACACTCCACAACAACAAAGACCAGAGTAAAATACACTCTTTAGAATACATTTGTAAAACTCACCGCTGCAAGGTTTCATTTACAAACCACACACTAAACACACCAAAGATCAAGAAATTAAAGTTACTGGTCTTAAACTCAAATCTTAGCATACTGCACCATCAGAATGAATTATCAATATGTGTGGGTGTGTAATTATTTGAAGAATTTGGGCTGAAATTCTGATATTTAATTTACTGATTATGCAGAAAATAATGAAGAATGTATTTGTTGGTCAATGCTTGTACATGAAAGTACACATCTGTAATTCTGTAAGAATCCTGTTAATACTCCAAACTATACTCACAATATTTAATATTCTTGGGGCTGGAGAAATACTCAGAGGTTAAGAGCACTGGCTGCTCTTCTAAAGGGTGCTAGTTCAATTCCCAGGATCTACATGGCAGCTCATAACTGTCTGTAACTCCCATTCCAGGGCACTGAATGTCCCCTTGTGGCCTCTTCAGGCACCGGGCACAGAAGGGGAACACAGACATACATGCAAGCAAAACACTCACACACATAAAATAAGGAAGTCGCAATTCTCTGAGTGCTGAGCTAAGAGTGTGGGTGAAAAAGAACTCAGAGGTTGTATAAGGGTTGAAAAAGGAAGATATAAAGAAAACTTTAACCTCTCCGATGCTTGTGTAATGGAAAAATAAATCTCCTACTGCTACCAAATGTTTTCAACCTACCTTAAAATTGTTGGTGATGGATTAAGATTTGTTTATATCTGTAGGAGTCAAAACTTCCTCAATATTCCAAATACACCATGTGGCACCTTGGTTATCTCAATTCTACAGCCTCTCAGGGTTTTGTTCTCTCTGCCAGTCACAGTGGGCGCCACCACCCGTCTCCCAAACTTGAAATGATTTAAGATACCTTAACATAAAACAGTATTCCCTATTGGTTTCAGTGGTCTTCACATAGGAAGCTGTACTTACAAGTTCCTTGATAATTGATCATAATTTCATTTCCAGAACAAGTCCTAGTTAGTTACAGTCTCCATTTTGAAACAGTGGCGGATTCTATTTGCCAAGGTTCTATGTGAAACTGTCTCCTCTGTATCCATGACTGCTTCCCCCACCTGCACCCACCAGTGGTCTCCACAAACACCCCTCTTGGTGCATATTTCCTTCCTACAATACTTTGTAATTTTCATATTTAAAGCAGCCTCTGGCCAGGCACAGTGGCTCACAACTGTGACACCAGCACTCGGGGGCTGTGACAAGATCACTGTGAGTCTGAAGCCAGCCTGTGCTACAAGAGGGTGCACAGGACAGCTTGAGCTATAAATAAGACCTTTCTGCAGGAAAAAACAAACAAACAAAAAACAACTAAATACTCACAGGCCAATCTCTCAGAATACCTGGAGAAGTTAGAAAATCAGAAATTTGCTGTTCGTATATCGTGACGTTGTATCTCAAGGTCACTATTTCCTGATCAGTTTGTGGGTCAGACACAGGAAAACACAAATACGCCATGAAAATGTAACCAAATCCCGACAGCACTACTGTTAGTGTCTTTGTTACGTGGATAAATGTACATACCCTCTTCCCAAATAAAAAAACCTTTAATTTTTTCCTGTTACATCGGGGTAGAGGGGTAAATATGGTGGTGTGGTGGTAGAATCAAAATCTCTGAATTGAGACTTTACTTCAGATTTTGAATACATCCTTTTGCAACTCAGGTGACTGGTTTTAAAGACAGTGAGTTGCTGGCTCATCTTCGTAACTGCGTACTGTAACACACACTATACAGACAGTATAAATCGACATATAAAGTGTGTGTAGAGCCATGCACTTCGGGAAGTGTTAGGCAAACCTGGTTGTCCACTTTCCCAAACTAAAAGGTAACATTGTCTCTTATTTATTATTATAAAGGGGAAGACGGGAGGAGAGGGGGGGGGGGCACCAGGCACCTACAGCAGCAACTACTGCTCCCTTACCAAATACCAAAGAAAAAGACAGCACACTTCAGCCAAGATTCACCGCAGGAAGAGGTCTGAACCTTTTCAAAGATTCTTGACCTACAATGTAAGAAACCGATTCTTTGCAGTGGCAGACTCAGCAAGAGGGGCCACTTTCACCAAAGAGAAGCAATGAAAATACAGTAAAATTAGTAAATATTGACAAATAAAACCTCCAAACATGAAAATAAATTTAAGCGGAATTTTCAGAACTTTACTGGAATGCTCCAAATAAATAAATAAATAAATTGCATATGATTTTTGTCATGAAATAATGGATGACAGAGCTGTATCTATACTACATGACTAATACACAACACTCCAGAGGGTTGCACAAATTCATGTATGCTGTGCATCATAAACTAGGTAAATGATAATTAACTCTGCTTATGCATCATTGTTTTACCAATACCAATTAAAATATTACTGCTCAAAATATGGAGATGTTTTTCCATCTTTAACACTTTTATGTAATCACTACCAAGGAATTGATGTTGTGAGTAAAACATCATGTTCCAAGAATTTGTTCTTGGAGCCATCACTAACTAAATGGGTCACACAGTTTCAGTTCCTGCCATGTGTACGACACTGTCAGAGAAATCCTGCTCCTCTGCCTGGCTCCAGAATCGCCTAAGTCAGGATTCACGCCTCCATCTCTCTAGTATCTTGGTTTTGTTGGTTTGTTTGTTTTTTGTTAGTCTGTTTGTTTTTGTTTTGGAGACAGGGTTTCTCTGTAGCTTTGGAGCCTGTCCTAGCACTCTCTCTGTAGACCAGGCTGGCCTTGAACTCAGAGATCTGCCTGCCTCTGCCTCCTGAGTGCTGGGATTAAAGGCGTTATACCACCACAGACCAGCCACTAGTATCATTTCAAAACAAAACAAAACAAAAAAGTTGTTTTTCATTTTGTTTCAGACTTTTATCTGGATTCTGAACAGGAAAAATATATAATTTTACTCTTGAGAAAAGGCACCTTGCAGCTAAAGGCAACACTAGTAAAAAAAATAAAAACTTCAATTTCTAAAACCTGAGTTCAAGCTAGGTTTGCTATGAAATATTAAGAAATGTGTCCTAAGTGCTATGGGTGGTTGAGGCTCATTCGCTAGCTCTGGCTATATTATTAGCTGTATTTCAGTCACTTTTTAATCTAATTATTTTATTATTTTGTGTGTGTGTGTGTGTGTGTGTGTGTGTGTGTTCACTTGGAACCTGCAAAAGATGGATGGATACCTCTGGAACAAGAGTTACAGACAGGTGTGAGCCACCCAGTTTGACATGTGAGCTCAAGTTTGGGTAGTGGAACCCAAACTTGGGGCCTCTTCCACTCTTAACCAATCCATCTCTTGAGCCCCTTCACTCTCTTTCTGAAGATTTAGTATTACTTTAATTATATGTGTATGTGTGTGTTTGGGATGGAAGTGTGTACTTGCGTGCAGTTGTCCCCAGAGGATATAAGAGGCCATCAGACCCTTCTGGAGCCAGAGTAACAGGCAGCTGTGGGCTGCCAGGTGTAGGTGGTGGGACTCTGCGATGTACGCTCTCTTAACCACTGAGCCATCTCCAATCCCTTCACTCAGCCACTTTTTGAAAATACAGATGTCTAGTGACTAATCTCTAATCGGATTATCTATGTCTGGTTTTCTTTTGTTTCGATTTTCCCAACAAACTTCCCAAGGAATCCCAGACTGCAGATGGCAGGAGTTTAAAAATCAGCAGTATATGCGGGCTAAATCCCTACCACACACAATATAATGAGCACTATGAAGACAAAGTTATATTTCCAAAGATTAATGATTTTACTATATAAAATTTACAATAGTGCCAAGGCTGAAACTGTTGAGTTTTAGAACAATGAAACATTAGCATTGGCATAAATTTGTTTAAAACCTCAGATGCATCTCATTGAAACCTGACAAAGAAATGTCCTAACAAGAAAGAAGACATGCTTTTAAAATCATTTTCTATTTGGTTCATTATAATGTCTATCTTTGCTTCCAAGGGACAACAATTACTTGAAATAAATTTTCTTTTGTGTGAAAGATAATACAAAAATATTTTCTTCATGAAAGCCTTGCAACATTTGATGCTGCCAAAGAGAAGTATAAATACAAATAACACGTGAGGACTTTACTGAGAAGTACATACAAATAATCAAGTTGATAAAAAAAAAAACATTTACCCAACGCTCAGTTTAATGATTGCCTTTATGTTTTTGCTGACAGAGTCAAAATTGTACTGTGTTAAAACATAAAACTGTTTAAACTATGCTTTTCCTCAAAATAAAATAGATATTTGCTTCTATCAATCCACCACGGCATTAAGAAATAAACATTATTAAATCTAAGTTATCTGGTAACGTATGAGACATTAAGAGGATATAGTGAATCCAACCAACCAGCGTGGTGTAGCCAAGACAGGTTCCAAGCTTTGGAATCATGACCTCGATATTCCCTGAGCTCGGGTCCTGTTACTGCCACCTGCTTGGTTTTCTGACAGCCGAGTCAGTACTGTTGAAGAGCTTTAGGGAAGTCACAGATTTCACACATAACCCTTTCACGGTCACCAGTGCTAAGAGCTCGTGAGAATCCTGATAACCCAATCTCTCTTCCCATTTCGATCTGAAACAAAGCTTGGCTTTGTAGCCTCCATAAGGCATCTTGACACATAAAACTTAAAATATAATCTTTAATAATATGGAAGAATAAGAATAGGTTCTCAATATATCACTTATCAAAGAAAACGCCCAATCTTATTATAGTTCATTAAAACAGGAGCACTGTGGAGATAGACACTCACTGAAAAAATGAATGCAAAAGCTCAAAATCCCACCTTCAGGGTTTTTAACAGTGGCATACTATTCGTTTTCTTTTTTAAAATTCCACAGTAGAAGAATATGGATGGACAAAAGGTAAATAAATAAAGGTTTTGTTTTCCTCCAGAAAAAGCAGCTTCACTGTGTCCCACCAGGAACAAACTGTCACAATCCACCAATTTTTCTGAATCTCAGACAATGATTTAGGAGCTTTCTAGAAGCTGGGACCACCCCATGCTCGCCATAAGCAAGTAGCATTATTTCAGAGCTAACACTGTTTGTAGATAACACTGAGTAATCTCACGCTCACCATAGCTTAGCATCCTTACTTAAAAGAGCATCGAGATCAAAGTGTTTATTAACTGTCATTGTTCTTTCCTGTGTGGACACGTGAAATAATCCAGCAGAGCAGGTGATGCGTCTTTATGATGTTAAAAACTAAATCCATCTTACGTCTAATTAGTCTCCCTTATTTTTACATATCAAGTGAGCAGCTTTGAATTTGATACAGTACTTCATTCTCAACCATCAATAACAGGCATTCTTATGTACTGCTAAATACATCAGCTAGCTTTCAGCAGTAACATGACAATTAGAGGAGCAGTATTTTCACTACAGTGATGCACTGGAGCATTAAATGAAGTATTTCAATGACTGCATCCACTTACACATAAAATCAGCAATGACACAGCACAATGAACAAGTGAGATGAGGGCTGGGACAAGCGAGTGCTGCAGCTCTGTCTGGTTCTCTGGGAACGGCCTTATTTGGGTTTCTCTCTTTCAGCTCCCAGGTGCATCCTGGGCCCTACCTTGCCTCATCATATTTCATATCAAACGTCCTTTCAATAAACCTTCTCCCCCACTCTCAGTAAATATATTCTGTGAATTTAATAGAAAATAAGTTTTGTTCATTCCTACTGAATCTAAAGTATCTGAATTCCTACTGTCTTAATTTTGATAGTTTGACAGCATTGCATCTCTATCCTTATCAAAACTAATTAGTTTAAGACACAAGAGGCTTGTGCAACATTCAAGCAACATTTTGACACAACAGTCAAAAGCTTCTAACTGTCATTGAAGCCTAGACTTCTATTCTTCTGTTTCTCAAACTAACTCATCCCAACACATCTGCTCTGGTGGCTCTAGACGGCCACTGTGCTGACACCAGAGAAAACCCAATTCATGTCTACCGCTAAACTGGTCTCTAAAATGACATGGACACATGCTGTCCATTCATCTACTTGAGAAAATGTTCTGGTATTTTTCCACTTTGCAGAATCCTAACAGATACATACCTATGTCATATGCCAGGAAATCGGCAGAAAAACATTTTGCACCGTTACTCAAGGAAGTGTCATTATGGGTATTTCCTCCAAAAATAAGCATAGCTCCATTGATAAGCACTGCTGAGTGAAGGTATCTGGCAAACCCACTCTCTTTCAGAATAGTCCTACAGGATAAAATTCAAAAACGTATTACAAAGGATAGAGACTTCCCTGACTTCATAAATAAAGTATTGACTGTATATTAAAATCTTTCTGGGAATTATGAAGGGAATACATATATTTTAACCACTTGTAAATAACTTCTAAGGTCCAATATTTTAAAAGAATATTTATGGAATCTCAATATCCCAGGATGCTTCGAGGGAAGCACCATACAGACAGAATTTTTAATACTAATACTTGATATTTTGAATGATTTTTTTTTTACCTGTGAAGGTAGGGAAATCAGTCTACCTCAAAGTACAGGACCAAGACACCATGCTAAAACTAGTAAAAAGTTAAGTATAGTAAATTTAGTCCAAATTACATTCGATTAAAATTATAAAACTGTTAAGACCTCTTAATGAGCCTCTATGCTTAATTAAAATTTATTTACAAAGGTGCAGATACTGTAAGTTAAAAAACTCAATGAATTTCCATAATATGAGTACAAATTACCAAATAAACAGAACCCAGACAGAAACATTGCTATTTCTATTTCAATGACGAGTTTTAATATACTTTCACATGGGTTGTACTTATTTGCATGCACGTTCTTTGGATACACCCACAATGTGAATGATTAAAACCTTCAAGAAGGCGCTGGAGAGGTGGCACAGCAGTTAAGAAGACTTTCACATCAGGCAGCGACAGGGGGATTGGAGGACTCTGGCCTCAGAGGCACCTGCCCTCGTGCACACATACACACATACACACACGAACACACTCATGCATAAATACACACACACACACTTAAAAATGAATCCTCTAAAATACATTATTTTTCAGACACAGTAAATTTTACATAAAGTACTGTAAATATATGCTCAGAATTATAAACTGCTCTGAATAAACCAATATATAAAGATGACTAGTAATATAAATCAATACTTTCTAACAATGCTGACAAAAATACAAAACATGTATAAAAACAGTTTGTTCTTAGATAGTCTCTAACACCATAAATTTTTAATGTCATTTAATGCTTAGAGAATATGAGATGGACTCCCAGAGTGATAATATACAGAGTTCTACAGTCTCTCCAGGAAAAAAAAAAAAAAAACCAACTTTAATTAATACAGAAAAGTTTTAAAGTCTCAGGAAATTTAAGGTCTCATACAACTTTATTAAGAGCATCATTGAATATCAAGAGTATCAAGAATATCTACTAAGTTTCGGGTAGGAAGTCAACAGTGAATCTGACCAGGTGGCATGGGCCTGGGATGCCAGCTACTTAGAATCTAAGATGGAAGGACCACACCCAACTCAAGGCCTGCCTGGACAATGTAGTGACTCCTGCTTCAGAATAAAAAGCAACAAAGTAGGGAAATATGTAGCTCAGCTATACAGTACCCGCCTTGCATGCACAAGGCCCTGAGTTAAACCTCCACTCTTCCAAAGGAAGAGAAAGGGCACAACCTATAGTAAGCTGACTCGGGGTCCATTCGCAACTTCCTTCCCTTTATCTTCCTGCCTTTGACATGCACCAACTCAGGATGACAGACCTCTAACCTGGGGAGAGAGAGCCAGGGTAACAACCTTGTTTCATCCCTTGGCTCCTAGCAGATCAACGACATCTAACTGAAAGTATTAGGCTACCACAATTCATGTTCCCCGTACTTACACAAGTTCTATTCCAGGAAAAAGTCTCAGAAGGCTGGGTGATTTCCTATATTTGCCCTCAGCATAGATGGGAGCTACCAACCAGGCTTATGAGACTAATGTGGGGGCAAATAATGTTTGTCTTCCCTCACTCAGTAAAGCAGAGGTTCTGTGTCACAGAGTAGAGCTTAGAAGACCCCAGCCTACTGCCCCCAGCACGCTGGGTATAAGCAACAGTACCACCCCAAGGAGAATCAGGTCACTGAGCCCATGCACCTACAGTTCCTGAACAGCAATATAGAGGTTCTCCAACAGGAAGAGAGGAAGCTACACACCACACACACACACACACACACACACACACACACACACACACACACACACACACACACATACACACGAGGAAATCTGCAAAATTCTGGTTTTAAAAGTGTTCAATCACTTGGGAGACAGAGGAAGGTAAATCTCTATTTGTTTGAGGTCAGCCTGTTCTACACAGCAAGTTCCAGGCCAGCAAAGTTAACCTCTATCTCAAATAATATACAAACACATAGATAAATAAACTAAAAGTCTCAGAAGAAATGGAAAGATAACAACATGTACATGAATGTGAAGACTAATGCACAACCAAATTTCAGTTCTTACATTGAACTGGAGATTCACTTCAGTCTCAACCAAAACCATGGGAAATTACCCAATGGACAGCAGCAAACTGACTATAAGATTCTCACAGGAAGCTGAAAACTTCAGTTAGACAATGTTAGGGGCCAATGGGCCTCTCGGCAGTTAGCGCACTTAGTGCCTTGCAGAGGACCCAGGTTCAGTTCCCAGCACCCACATTGCGGCTCACAACCATTTATAACTCAGGTGATCTGATGCCTCTTCTGACGTCATGGACACTTGTGCATAGGTTGTACACAGGCACAGACTCACTCACACACCAATACAACAAAAGTAAATAAAACAAATATTTAAGAAAAAAAACTGAAGAACCAAGTCAGAGGGCTGATCCCTCCTGACATCAGCATTTAATCTAATCTAGAGAACCACACAACCTGTTAGGGAAGACAGAACAGACGCATCAACAGAATGAAACAGAGCCCAAAGACAAACCAACACAAATACATCCAACTGATATTTGAAAAAGAAGCAAAGTTATTACATAATGAAAAGATAGTATACCCAGAGAACACTACTAGAAAAACTAAACATACACAAAAGAAAGAGAAAGAATATAAACCCACACTGAAGATTCTCTATTAAATGCTAACACGGTAACGTGCTTGCGCTGCAAGTGTGAAGACAGGAGCTCAGATCCCCAGAACCCACAATAAAGCCTACAGGTGTAGTGGGCTCCCCATCATTCCAATGCAAAGGCAAAGACAGGAATTTGGGATGCACCAGCTGGCTAAAATAGCCAAAATGAATCCTTTCTCCATATTTAACGTGGCACACAATAGAGAACAATACATGAAGTCAACCTCAGATCTCCACACTGCAAACATAAACACACGCCTGTGTGTGCATGCACACACATACACACATGCACAACCAAACACACACACACACACACACACACACACACACACACAAACATACAGGCAGACATATATGCACACCACATACATACATATATTACACTAATAAAAAACTAACCTAGAATAAATAATAAACATACATGAAGAATATAATAAACTCCTAGAAGATAACACAGGAGAAAAATCTAGGAACTGAGGTGGGTGATGAATTTTTAGAAGTGCCACAAAACACAAATCATAAAGATAGACTGATGAGGTCTCACTTAATATCAGTTTTTCTGCACTAGAAAAAATATATTGCTGAGAATAAAAGTACAAGTCCCAAACTGTCATAAACACATTTGCAGCACAATACCTGACAAAATAATGTTTTCCAAATTATACAAAGAGCCCTTATAAAGGAACAGAAAATAAATTTGAGGAGCCAAATATGTGAACAGACACCTTTCCCAGGAGGGCACATGGATGTGAGTGCATGAATAAAAACAGGCTTCGCTGTGTGACCAGGGGATGCACATGAAGACAGCATCAGACTCCACTCCACACCGAGGAAAATGACTACAACTACAAACACTGACATTACTAAAACCTGACCGGGGTGTAGACTAATAAAAATTCCATCTGTTGATGCAAGCAGTGAAAAATGGTAGTCACCTGCAAGACAACTTAGCAGCTTACTACAATACTAAACAACCCTAACGTACACCAAGGAACTGCGTGCGCATCTTAGTATTTACTAGTGAGTTGAAAACTTTGGTTTACTGAAGTACCTGCATGCAGGTGTTTAAAACAGTCTCATACATAACCCACATAATTCGGAAGCCTTTGGGATACCCTCCAATCTGTAAATGGATAAACAAGCTGTTCTATCATGAAATGGAATAAAATTCAGCAAGAAAAGACACAGGCTTCTGCACATGAGAAGACATGGTGGGACATAAATACATATTGCCATGTGAATAGGGCCAATCCACACGCTACACAATTGTAAGTTTATAACATTACAAAACATAACAGAGAGAAAATATTTTTACACCCACGGTGGAAATCAGTATGAACGCTACAAAAACAAGAGAACTACACTGCAGCTCAGCTATACCATGTCTGGGGAGTATCAATTCACACCCACTTCATTGCAAGCCTACTCACAAAGTATGGACTCAGCCTAACTGCAAGAGAAATGAACAAGGAAGACCTGGTGACACCAAAAGGCAGTGTTAAGCAGTCACACAGGAGATGAAATGTCATTTGCAGGGAAGCAGATGAAGCTTAACTTAAGTTTACTTAATTAACATCACATTAAGTAAAATAAGCCACATTCAAAAAGACAAATATCATGTGTCGTGTCTCTCTCTTTCACATGTAAAATCTAAAAATTACATGAAAGCAACAGTAAAGTTATTAGTGACATGGAAGGGTTAGAGAGGGACAGACAGCAAACAGGATCGAGTACACGGCATGCCTTTGTGAAAAATCATGAAACCCATCATTTACGTAATTAATAGGTCTTACTTTTAAAGGGTACTTTACTTAATTAATAATACTGTTGTATAAATTAATGAATAGTTGATTTCAAAGATCAGTCCTTTAAGAAACTTACAAAGATTGAATCAGGCAGAAATGATCTGGTTATTCTTAGAATCACTTGGTAATAAATCCCACTGTTAAAATTCTATACATAAAAAGTTACCTTTAGTTCTCTCAAAGGCTATAGCTAAAAAACTACTCAGGAAAAAAATTCTGATTTTATAAATGTGATCTATAGCACTAAAAAGAATACTCCTCAAACAAGTTTATGTTATAACATTAACATCAAATAATACAAG